TCATTGCTCTATGTTTATCAATAAAACTTTGAAAAGAAAAAAAAATAAAATAAAAAAGAAATAGATAACCTTATTATGTAGGAAAAAAAGCTAAATAAATTTCCTTATGAAATAAAAATATATTAGGCTGGGGATGTGGCTCAGTGGTAGAGTTCTTGTGTTACATGCACAAAGCCCTGGCTTTGATCCTCAGTACCACAAAAAAAGGAAGAAGGAAGAAGGAAGAAGGAGAAGGAGAAGAAGAAGAACATTCAAAAGCTTCCACTGTACCAAATAAAAATAAATAAAAATTTAGTCTTAAACTACATCTCAAAAATTCTTAAACTACATCTCAAAAATTCTAAATAAAGCTTACAGAGGAAATTATGTGATAAATGACCTATTCTTACCTCAGAAAGGTTCAGGCAGGCGTAATCATAACCATACCAAGGCACACCCATTACAAGTTTCTTAGGGCTAATGCCCATCTTGATGTAGTCATTATATCCTAGTCAAATAAGGATATAAAAACACAGTTTTTTTCTCTTCATATATCTGTAAATGTGTTCATATAACCTATGCAAATACTCAGAATCTAAAATGAGGTACATTTACATAAAATACTAATTTTGTGTAATATAATGCTATAAAAGTTATCTTTAAGAATTATAAACCCATATCTTGCTTTCTAAGCCACTTTTTTCATGAAAGAATTGCAATTATATATATGAACAAAATCCACAGAAGTCTAATTCTAGGAAAATGACACATTTCGGGACAGCAAACTGCTAAGACACGATATATTTAATATCTAGATTCTAAAGTTTAAAAAAGCTTTATAAATCTTAAACATTCTGACAGATACACAGTCAGAATTTCTTATAGAAAGCACATGGGGTGCCATGCTTTACAAATTATCTATTAATGTCCTAACAATAGCTGTGTATAAGAAATATTCTCTCCTATTCCATAGTAGATAATCCGTACTTGTAGAAAACAAAGTAAAATACACAAATTCTGGTACTATCAACTCTTTTTTGCTCAGTGCTACAAAACATGTTTTTTTTTTCTAGCAGAAGATATTCCTAAATTATCTAGACTATTGATCAATAAACAAGTTTATTGGTTTTCAGATTCTTTAATCCTATTCTTACAATTAAAATTTTAAAAATGAGGATGATAATGCTTCATTCACCCAAAATATTTGATGATGAACCTTTTATTAAGAGTATTATTTCTTCATGAAACAGTTTGGGAACTCAAATTTAAATAATTTAGTAACTTTAATAGAATATTACTTTCCACATTTAAATGGAATATGTTTATGAACAGATTGTTTTATCCAAACAATGGGGACATCATAAAATGAGGCCAGATTCTAATATTTTACTTGTGTATGAAAAAACAATTTTTTTGTAAATCAGTTAATCAATGCCAAGTATCCCAGAAATTTCAGTTGAGTCCAAAAGATAGCAGCCAATCTTTTACTCAATTGATAGGATCCAAATGTACACACAAAGACCACATCGTATGATGGCAAGACTGAAGTACTCTTCTTTTTTTAGTAGAGGGCCTTACAGGGTCTCACTATGCAGATCAGACTTGTAGTAATCCTCCTGTTTTCAGCCTCCCAAGCACTGGGATTATAGATGCACCAACACACCCAGTCTCAGTCATAGTTTCAGCGTGCCCCAGGGGTGGGCCAACATGGTACGGCAGGGATTGAACCCCTGTCCCCGCATCAGTTTAAGCAGGCACTTTGGTCCATTGAGCTATCTGGCCAGCCTAGTACCCTTAAATCTAATATAAATACAATTTTTAATGTAAGAATTAATATTAGGGCTGTGGAGGCAGCCAAGTTGCCTAAGTGCCTGCCTCACGAGTCCAAAGTTGAGTTTGTTCCCTGGTATCAAAAAGAAAAAAAAGAAAAGAAGGAGAAGGAAGAAGGAAGCAGAAGAAGAAGAAATAAGATAGAGTCAATCTTGCTAATCATGTATGGTAGGTACCCATATTATAATTATCTTTTCTACTGAAGTATTTAATATTTTAACGAAAATATCTCATTGAATTCTAGGTAAAATTTTTGTATGGTTTCATGACAACATTGTTGTACTTGAAATAAAAATATCTGTATGAGTCTCACTATATAATATTGACAGGTGTACAAACTTGAGCACTTAATTCCTTTTATCTCTTATATGGTTGCTAAAAGAATTAAATAAAACTTCAAACTTTTTGTAAACATTAAAACTCTCCAAATTAAGTGATTTATAAAGTTTAAAGTATGCTATACAAAGGTATAAAAATAATGTAGAAATATTAAAAGATATCTTAATGTTTAAGATTTTGAAATTCACACCACTAACGAATGATCACTTTCTTAATTTTTACCAGATAATGTCTGATTATAGGGAGCATTTGCTGCTGCAATACATTCTGACCAAAGCTGACTTTGTTCATCATAAGACATCACAAAGAGAAAGTCACAAGCATCTGCGATTCCAGTATAATTATAGCATCTTCTGTCTATGTTCTTCGGAGACCAAGCTACATCAAAGGTTACCTGTGGGAAGACACAGATAATTTCATGTAACCTGATCAAATATGTATATTACATCATATGGGTTTTCTACATACTCTTTTGCCTCATGCTACCCAAGGAAAAAAGTATTGTTTGTAGTATATGAATGTACAGATTGACACAAATAGAACCGTTCTAAGAAATTTGGTTTTTTACTACATTGGACTGGCCTAGGCATTTATTTAAACATTGTATATACAGAAGAAGAGGTTTAAACCCAAATGTCTTCAGAGACTGGGCTGGTAACTCAACTGACTGAAAGATGTAGGTATAATGACAAGGGTGTGGTGAGGCTCCTGAACAACTGGAAAGTAAAGGCACACAAAAAGAATTCAAATATGACAGATCCTAAAGAGCTGTGCAGGCTGAATGTGTCTCCCGTTGTCACAGCCTGACTGGGTTGTACATGTAAACCTCTGACTCACAACTATACTATGTGGGAGGTCTGGCTCAGTATTATAGTTAGAAAACTGGTATGTTATGGACCACAAGTATATATTAATCAATTGAAAATGTTGAATAAATCATTTAAATGACCTATTTTATGGAAGTATTAAAATAAAAAGTATTAAAAAGTAAAGCAAAACTCAACACAAATGAGTCTCTTGAAAATATTTTTATTGCTTTAACTAAATATTAATGAACCTTATTTTAATGCATAGAAATGTTCTAAAACATCATTAAAGGATTTTTTCCTTAATTATACATTTAAACATGACTAGTATCCAGAAATGAGATACTTCAGGTAAAATGTTTACACTTTGACCAATTTATCAAAACAAAACTCTTTTTAGGACTTTCTCAAAATTCCCTCTGTAATTCTTCTACTTCCAACATTAAAGAAGCCTCGATTTTATGAGCTTTTCTCAATAGTTCTACTTTCTACTTATGTTTTATAGACCAAGCTACATCCAGTGTTGCCTGTGGAAAAACACAAGTTTATGTAAAATGAACAAACATGCGTATTATGTCAGAGGGGTTATATGACAAAATAGGTTATCAAGTGAAATTCTTACATAGAGGATTTCTCTAATCTCATCTATCAAAATGGGGACTATCATAATAACACAGAAAATAAACAACTATCTCTAAGCAGATAAATTTCAAACCCATTTTTTAAATTCCATACCTATCTCCTGAATGCTAAGAGTATTTTTATCTGAATTTCCTGCCATAATTCATCTTATACTTTTGAGACAGCAGTATCAGTATGCTGACAAGAAACCAAAAGACAGGTTCTAGTCTGGCTCTCTTATAACTTGGTCTGCATCACTGACTGTGTCACTTAAGGCATTTGAATCTGTTCTCCAACCTATGAAAAGAAAAATATAAAAAGAATTCTTCAAAAGCATTTGTGATTCTTTAATTCTCTGGCCATATTTTTTTTTTGTAAACTTAAATCAATTTTTCCCCAAATCTTAATTTCCTGTGCCAACCTTTCTATTTAGTTATTTTTTTCCTACCTAATTTAAAAATCTTGGCTTATGTTCTGACCCTTTCCTTCCTTCCCTTATCTAATCTCACAGTTTCCTTTGAGTGTCCTCTCAAGTTGTTCTGCCCCTTCCTTTCTGTTAATTCAACAAATATTTGCTGAATGGTAAGGCTATGCCAGCATCCCAACTGGAACTATAAATTCCTACTTACTAGGATGTTGGCTAAGTACCTCGCTGTCTTCCTTTCTTCTCTAGTGTTACCTAGTACTACAGAATAATCTCACAAAACATGCATATTTGCAGGTCTACCCATGTAACCCATTACATATGGAATAAAATATATATTCCCCATCATATCCTGGATCATCCTCCATCTCAACTAGTCCAACTGTACCTCCTACTTACTCACCTTATATAAATAAGTCTTGCATATTAGTCCAAATTATTCTACTCGTCCTTTAAATGTAAAAATCAATATGCCTTTAGTTTTGTTGTTTTTTATTGTGGTCCTAGAATACAAATATCACCCTAGACTATATACCCAGCTCTTTTTTTTTTTTTGAGACAGTCTTGCTAAATTACTAAGTCCCATTACCTTGGCTCAAATATGCAGTCTTCCTACCTCCGCCTTAACAAAGTGCAACTGTGAGCATGTACAAGCACATCTGCTGAAAATACAGTATTCTTACATAAGGATTTTGCTCAATTTCACTGATCTTGTCCTTTCACTATAGTTCAATGAAAGCCGGCAAATAAATTGTTTCTCACATACTAAATCTAAGCTATTAATAACAGTTACCAAGGGAATGAAGGAAAATTTTCTGAAACCAAAACTTGTAAGGAAAAAAAGAGTATGGCAGCCAGCATGCCAGGTACTTGCTATTCTTTTCTACACTGTACTCATCTGAAAAGCTGCATTCTAAACCAACAAACCTTCCCTACTTGCATAAAAATACAAATGTGAGTCCTCATCATTATTTTACCAATGACTCATACTCACAATGGTCAACTATAACAGAATCCCCTAGAATACTTGGTAAAATTGCAGTGCCCTATGCTCTGTCCCAGACATACTGAATCATTTTTGAAAAATTTTAAGTGAATACTCCCAGGTGATTTAGGAATTACTGGTTGTATTTAAAATGATCTATCTTGGAGTGAATATTACATTCATCAGTCTTAGATATGTTTAGATAAAAATACTTTTTTAAAATTGTGTTTGTAACAGCATAAAATTTATGTACACAACATTTACGTTATATTAAGTATTACAGAGTATACAGAAGGATCGTTCATCCTTATCTACAAGATTTGAACACACAGATTGGGTATCCACATGGGGTCTTGGAACCAATCTCCCATGGAATGCCAAGGGAAAATAGAGACAGACAGACAGGCAGAGTCCTATTAACGATATTTAAAATTCTTTAAAGGCAGACATCATTCACATATTCAGTAAATCATTCTTAAATATTGTGTTAGACATTAAGGATCTGGTGCCAGCTTTCAAAAAACTCACTCCAACTTAGCAGTCCTTAATTATAATCATCTATGATTTTTAAAAATTATGAATCCTTAAGTTCATCAAAAACCTTCTGAATAATAATTGGTGAGGTGAGTCCCCAGTGTTTGTGTGTATGCACATGTGCAACTGTGTCCCTTATGAGACTCTTTGTCATCTGACATATGGCCAGATGTAAGACTAGTGATCTGGAGCCACACCATCCTTTGTTATCTCCACACTGCCTGGCGAGATGCCCCTTACTGTCATCAGGCTCACTGTGGCAGTGGGAAAGCCCACTGTCTGCTGTCTGTCACAGCTCTAACCAGTGCTACCAAATCAGTCCTCTGAGCTTTTTTGGGCCTTAAGTGCTCTGCAGGCAACTTAGAGACCATGGCAGAAGAGTGACACTTCCCCAGAACTACCTCTACTCTTAGGCAAGAGTTATTTCTGTCCTGCTAGGGGAAAATCGGCCCCCCCATGTTGCTTCCTGCCTTCACCACCTGACACTGTATTCCTGCTGCAAGGCCAGTAAGTGGAGTGATCTCAGTGTAGTATTCCGATGTGAAAAGATAACAGATTTGAACCTTGAAATTCCTTAAGTAATAACATTGAAATTTGCAAAAAAAAAAAAAAGTTTTAAGAAACATGTCCTGAAACTCTTTCATATTGCATGACTATAAAACTAAGATTGCATACCTTCATTTTAGTAAAGAAAAGAGAATTTCCAAGAAAAATGTGAATGTTTTTACCTGGGATCCCTCAATCTCCTGATGGAAAGACTCTGTGGTTTCTTTGACCAGAGCCGTTAATGCATGATACTCAGGTGATGAACAATTAACTTCTTGCTCTATGTCAATATTGATTCCATCCATATATTGTGTTTTGGCCAAGTGAAGTTTCTGTGCTATCCAGGATGCTCTGAAACTAGGATCAGTGATGTCCTTTAAGGGTACGTCTCCTATGGACGAAATACACATATTTTGTACCTATGTTTTTATAGTTAAATCCCATTTATTTTACAAACCCACTTTCAAAGTGATCACAATGTCTTTAAAACATTTCATTATTTTGGAATACTAAGTTCTTAATCCCCAAATAGAATTCTTTGGGTTTTTTTTGTTTGTTTGTTTGGTTTTTTTTGGTTTGTTTTTTTTTTTTTTGTTTTTGTTTTTGTTTTTTGAGGAACCAGAGATTGAACTCAGGCCCTTGCGCTTGCCAGGGAAGCACTTATTCTGCTGAGCCATCTCCCCGGCCCCCTTTTCTTTTTAGTACTGGGAATCGAACTTGGGACTTCGTGCTTTTCAGGCAGGCACTTATGCCACTGAGCTATCTCCCCAGCCTTTTAAAAAAAAATTTTCCCCAAATAGAGAATTAATATACCAAAATAATAATCATTGCCTACTAATCCCTAAAATTACCAACCTAGATAAAATAAGATTGTTCTCAAAGGCAGAAATTGTGGACTAACTAAAGGTTAGTATGCTAATTAGGCAGTCACATTTTCCTTAAAGCCATAAAATAGTTTATTTAATCTTTAAAAAAAACTTTGTGAAATGAACTTAATGAAAATTAATTTCAGATTTTTTTTTAAACATAACTATAATAGGATTTTTTTTTTTAAGTAAGGACTATGAGGGGGCTGGGGAGATAGCTCAGTAGAATAAGAATGTGCCTGGCAAGTGTAAGGACCTGAGTTCAATCCCCGGTTCCACCAAAAAAAAAAAGTAAGGACTCTAACAAATAATACAGGTAAATTTACCAATCAATTAAATGCATGTCACTGATTAAAAAAAAAAAATACCTTTTAGCACTACTCTGGCTCCTTTTGAATGCGCGTAGCACATGAGTTCTGAGTCATATTTTCCAAAAGCTGCCACAGTTGTAATTTGTGTCCAGTCATAAGATTTCCAAGTCTTCTGCCCAACATCAAACACAAAGACCTGCAGAACACTCAGGATAAGTACCATCACATAAACCAAGCATGTCATGTTGTCATGCTGATCGTGCAGACCACCGTACACCAAGCTATGGGCTTAGGCCAGGGCGCAAGACGTGGAGGTACCAAACGTCACTGGTGGAGGGTTACCGACCAGGCCAGGAAAGCGAGGAAGGATGGGCCAGGAAGAAATAGTGGGAAGGCGCCAAGGCCTGGAAGCAGAGAAGATGCGGTGGCCATAAAACAATATCCAGCATAGATGGCTGATGTCTACAATTTAGAGAGCACAGAGAAGAGCCTGCAAGGGGTCAGTAGAGATCATGGTTTATCTTCATGAGCCCTGTAAGCTCTGTTGAGAAGTCAGCACTGGATCCTAAGGGAAGGGAAGAAAATAAAATCCTTTCTAAAGGAAGGTGTGCATCTTAGAAAAATTCCTTCAGCTGAGGTGAAAATATGGATCAGAGAGGCGCCCAAACTCAAAGAACAGGGAAGCTGTTGGACGAATCTGGGCAGGAGATGACGGCAAGCTCAACTACAACTGTGGAGCGGCAGTTAAAGTGAGGTAAGAGGACAATCTGGGAGATTCTGGGGAGGGAAAATTTACAGGACTTTGTGGCTGACTGAGCAAGGCAAGAGAATGAAGGTTGGTACAGGTCCTACTGCTCTGGATGGGGCTCCAGTACACCATTATTTTCTATGAATGCCGCCTAGTGGTGATGGCATCAGAGTATTCAAGTCAAGCTCTAAGGCAGCTCATGCTAACGGCTCTCCACTATTTTTTTTTTTCTCACAGAAGTCTCACGGATCTAGTTTTATTCCAAGGTTCTAATTAATTGATTCAGAAAATACTGAATTTCAGTAAAGTATAGGGAGGGTTCAGGGTTCTTTTCCCTCCCTCCCTCCCTTCATTCTTTCCTTCCTTGCTTTTTCCCTTTTTCTCTCCCTCCCTCTATTCCTTTCTTTCTTCTTTGTCCTGGGATTGAACTCAGGAAGCAGCACCAAGCTACATCCCCAATCTTGTATTCTTTTGTAGGGGACGGAGGGAGTTGTTGAGGCAGAGTATTTCAAAATTAGCCAGGCTGGTCTGAAGTTTATGCATTGTCATAGTATTTGTGTAAACAGGCATTACTACTACATCCAGCTAGGGAGGGTATTTTGCTAGGCACTAGAGACAGGTTAGCAAGAGACCAAGTCCTTTAGGGACTTTTTAATTGCAGTACTAGTAAAGGTTGCAAGGAAATGCAGGGTGCCATGGGGGCCAGTTCAGAGGGTGGGGCAGGAAAATTTCCCTGAGGTTTGGCCATAGGGGCTGAATGAAATCTGTATAATGACAAAGGAGGAAGTGAACCAATGGGCAAAGGGGAACATTCTCAGAGGAGGGAACCAAAAACTGAAAGTCCCTTGACCTCAGGAGAATTCTGATTCTGGAACTGAAAGTAGCTGCAGCACAGAAATCCTGAAAGGATGTGGAATCACAGAACAGGAGTTAAGGCAGGAGGTGGCAACATGAAATACTTTGTACACCACTGAGCATTTTGAATTTTATCTGTAGACAGTGGATATTCGTTGGAGTTTAAATCCTTGGGCTACTTTGAGGAGACTGGAGGGGCAAGAGCACTAGGTGCATTAAAATCTCAAACATGTCTTCACTTTTTCAGTCTCCTTCATTTTGTTTTACTTTTTAAACTCCAATGAGCTTGCAATGAAATAATAAAAATTCAAAGTGCTGCTAATTCCAGCACTCTGGGAAGCTAAGGCAGAAGGATCACAAATTTAAGCACAGTCTGGGCAACTTAGGCATTTAGCCAGAGCCTCCTCAAAAATAATAAAAATTACAGAATATGAACTGATTGGCTCATGAATCTTTAGACTCATATGTTTACCAAACTCTCAATTTTTATTCCAATAAGTAAGCCTAAAGTTTTTTTTTTTTAATTAATGAGTACATGTGAGATCTGACTGAAAACAAAGGAAGGAGCTGAGGCTATAAATTAATAGTAGTGCAGCTTCTTAATATGCATGAGGCTTTGGTCTCAATCCCTAGGATTCAAGACGTATTTGAAAAAATACTGAAAAAAAGCTAGTAAAAAGACTTACTATGACCATATGAAAATAAATGTAATTTGCGTGCACTGTAGTTTTCAAAATGCCCAAAAATAACTACCTAATCTACCAACTATTGGGTGCTACAATAAATCAGATGGTTAAACATTTATTTGTTCATGAGGTTGAGACCGTGCTGGTGCTTTGGATTCCTGCTTAACCAAAGTACAACCACACATAAACAGTGAAACAAAAGTCAACCAATGAGAATGTACCAACTAACCTAGCAGGGAGGTTCCTCCAGGTCTTCCCAAATGAGGCAAACACCTAACCACAGACAATCAATTTTTTATTTTTACGTATTTGGTGCAGGGTCTCACTATGCAGCTCCAACTCATAGTGAGTCTCTTGTTTTCAGCCTATCCAACTCTGGGATTACAGGTGTGAGCCACCATGCCCGGTCTTGGTGGCTGACTCAGAGAGCTTCGAGGACTGGGGACCAGGCTAAAGCAGCATGTGATGCCAGGGATTGAAACTGGGTTCATGCACTTGCCTAAGCATGCGCTTCTCACTGGCCCTGCCAATCTCTTTGCTTCTGTGTTTAGTCTACATAGAAGCTTACACTCCTTGAGTTGTTTCTGATGTGAGTGTTACTGATTATCAGGAATTCTGGGCTTTCCTCAGATCAACTTTTATTGGTCTAAGGTTTTTAAAAAGCAGATTAGCACATGGGCAGAGTCACAAGAACTTTCACCACTTTTTTCTCCTAAACAACGTAGATATACTTACAGGCCCTGCCTCCAAATTAATTCAACTACATTAAGAGCTAGAAACTAATCCTCTTTCTATAAACGAATTGTTCTTTGGACTATACGTGACCTCCTATACAGGGCCTGGTGGTGCACATTTGTAACCCAAACACTCAGAAGGCTGAGGCAGGGGGGCATTGCAAGTGAGTTCGAGGCCAGCAGGGGTTGCAAAGTGAGTTCAAGGTTAGCCCGAACTGCAGAGTGAAATCCCATCTCAAAAAGACAAAAACCCTATGCCTCCTGACTTTATCCAATTCCGTGTGAGCACTAAGCAGCTAGTACACATGGTTGAGTGGTAACAGCTGAATGATTTGCAGCCACCCTGACCACCCTGTACTTGCAGGACTGTGGCGTCACAGATGCCCCGCTGCGTGCCACCCTGCTTGCACTGTGCCGCTGCTCCCAGCTCAAGGCCTTCAGTTTAGTGGTTTTAATACAGCTTCAAAGGGGGTGTTTTGATTAAGTTGCCAGAAGCCTTATAAACAGTTCAGGGAAAAGAAAAATTTACTGAAAGGTCTATTTTTACCACCTTTCTTGGTTCTGAGGCGCCATGAAAGGACTAAATAGACTTTTAAGAGCTAAGGAAAACATTCTTTTGTCACTTCCACACAAACTCCTCATTCTCTGGGAAACCAAGCAATGAACCTCACCTTTTTTAGTTTTTACACGGGGACTGCTCAGGAGAGAAGGCAGCTGGGTAGGGCAAAGACGAGCTGGCTTCTGGCGAGCGGTGGGTTTGAATCTCGCCCGCAGAGCCCGAGCCCGGAGGCGTGGGAGGAGTTACTCAACCCCTCTGCGCCACAGCCGGTGGTTGCCCCATCTACAAACTGGAGGAAATCTGTAAACAGGAAGGCCATGGGCAAGTGCTCTGGGTGGGATCTGCATCCCACCACCTCTTCTGGACTCTGATCCATGCCAACGTCCCTCCCGGCCTGAAGGACCAGACCCACAGTGGCAGGGGAGCGGCTCTGACCTCGAAGTCTGGGCGGTGTCGGATCGGGCGGCAGAGCGCAGTGTCCCCGCAAGGACAGTCAGCCCAGGCCGCAGGGCACAGCGCCAGCAAGGCCAGCAGCCACAGCGGCTGGCAGACGACCCTTAGGGCTCGGAGCAGCAGCGCAGACATCCGGGCAGCTGTGGAGACGCTCTCCTCCAGACGGGCGGGGCGGGGTGGAAGCGGAGCCTAGGCCCGGCGGGCGGGGACCTGGGCCCGGTGGGCGGGGGGCCTGGGCCCGGAGGGCGGGGCCTGGGCCCGGAGGGCGGGGTCTGGGGCCGGAGGGCGGGGTCTGGGGCCGGTGGGCGGGGCTCGGTGGGCGGGGCTCTTTGTTTACTCCTTGCGGAGTCTGAAGATAGGGGGAGCTCCCAAAATGAAAGCGTCACTGGAACTGATGGCCCAAGCTGCAGTGTGGGAGCGGCCAGAGCGCTTTCACCATAGGGATATCTGTTCCGAGTTAAGGTGGTAGCGGGAAGACAAGAATCCAACATTGCAACCCCTGTTGCTGAACCTCCAGGGAGAATTCAACCCCCAAGGACATGGACAGGGCAGAAACAAAATTTTGGAAGCTGGAAAGCATATATATAAGAGGTGAATCAAAACTTAGTTCTAGCATGGGGTTGCTAGAACTTCTGTCCTGGTTCACGTCGCTGGGCAGCTGTCCTCCAATCCAGTCTGAAATTGGGAAGTTGAATTATCTATGAGTGTTTGACTCTATTAAGTACCTGAGTGGGGAGCAAGTCTGAGTTTGCACCTACTGTGAACTGTTGATTTTTCGTTTCTAGTATTTTCTTTCTTGTTTCCAAACATTCTTACCTCCCTCCCCCATCCACTTTTTCATTAGTGTGAGAACCTGGAAGAATAAATAAGACCTGAAAGGTATAACAGATATAGTAAAATGAAAAGAAACTGAACTTAAGGATTAAACAAAGAAAATAAGAGAAAAGAGAAAAGATAGGAAAAAAGGAAGGAGGGGAAAACATGCAAGTATATATGCAGGATGGCTGAGATAATTGTACTCATAATTTCCATCAGTATTTTGAAAATAGCAGTTAAGGTTTAGAATTTTCACCTTGACTAACTGTATGCTGCTATCTGCTATCTGAGCAACTACATCGAGGACAGCAGTGTGTAACATAAAACGCATGCTGACTACCTCTCATCTTGATCTTCTAAATGTGTACTGTTTCTAACGTCTTATCAATTATTATACTCTCTTTAAAATAAAAACAAAACAAGGACAAAGAAAAAATAAGATCTCGTGAAAGCAAGCCTCAATATTCAATTAGTTCTGCCATCTTACATAACTATATCTGTTAATCTGAGCAACAGATATGATGATAAAAATAGGTAACAACCGCTGTTAATTAGCTATCCCTGTTTTGAAAATCTGTAACTTATGTATTGCTGTATGTTACCCTGTTTTTGTTTTCTTTTCTGTTTGTTTTTGCTTCTGTTTTTACTCTTCAAAATAAAATGTATTAGTATAATAATAATAATAAAAGGAAAAATAGAAAACAAGAAAAGTGCATACGTATACTCATGCCAAATTTATTCGTACTTTTCAAAGGGAAGAAACTCCAGAAAATTACTAGAAATGGTTGGGTAGTAAGAGTGTTAGATAGTACCTTAAATCAGTTCCACTACAAGCAAATAAAATTAAAGATATTTACAATAGAGATCAAGTATATGTGCAACTTTGGCATAAATGCCATACAGCATGTGTATATATGTGTAAAATGTTTATGGAGAAATTCTAAAACCCATTTGAAGATAATAATATCTACATCTTTTTTTAAAAACGTGTATTTAGTACAGGGTCTACATGGTCTCACTACACAGATTAGACTCATAGTGATCCTTCCTGTTTTTCAGCCTCCCAAGCACTGGGATTACAGACACATGCCACCACACACAGTCTCAAGGGCAATCTCAGCGCACCCTGAGGGCACTGCAAGCCAGGGATGGAGCCCCTGGCCCCTGTGTCTGCCTAAGCAGGCACTTTAATCTGCTGAGCTATCTGGCCGGCCCTCTACATCCATTGTTAATGACATTTATCTAGAGACTGAATTTCCTAAAATTATCCATTCTCTCCAAATAGTTTTGTATCTTTAAAGTAATTTCAACCAAAATCCCAATAGGATTTATGAAGAAATTAAACAAGATTATCTTTTTTTTTTTTTTTTTTTGGTGGAACCGGGGATTGAACTCAGGCCCTTGCGCTTGCCAGGGAAGCGCTTATTCCACTGAGCCATCCCCCCTGCCCCAAAACAAGATTTTCTTAGCTTACATGAAATGTCTAAAAGTCCTCCAAGAGCCATTAGAAACTATATACTGTTGGTGAGAATATAAATTTGCATTCCCCCTTGGAAATCAAATTGGCAATATCTTGTAAATTTGAAGATTCATGCACTCTAAGCTAAGAAATTTCACTTCTAGGCTGGAGACTCTCTTGCACAGTTGTCTTTACAGACCTGCATATATATTTTCTTAGTACTAAGGACAGAGCTAGGTTCCACAGCCATAGGTTCTTCCAAAAAAGTCTTTGCAGAAAACTGCCTCAGCAGGGCTGAATTAGGCCAGCTGACACTAGCTGATGAGTTCTGAAGACTCCCCTTGGGCAAAGCTCCTTTGGATGCTTAGAGCGCTGCATAGTGTTCCTGAAAACACAGAGAATAGAGTTGGGGTTACCTCTGTATTTGAACTTTGCCCACAGAAGGTGCGGACAGCTGTACTTGACCTAAACTGTGGAAAAACAAGAGCTGAAAAATGTGTGTGGTCTCCTAAGTCTGTAATTGTATATCAAACTCTTTTGCATGCTATCACTTTTGCTTGTAGTAGCAAAAAGCTTGAGGCAACTCACATGCCCATGAATTAAACCTAGCTAGACTGTGATAGTCATACATGGAGCACTACACTGAAATTAAAATGAATGACATAAACTGTATGTGTTGATGAATCTTAGAAATGTGACTGGAAAAACCAACTCAGAGAAGAATATAAGGAATATAATGTCACTGAAACTTGCAAATCCTCCATGGGGTAAAAATCATAAAGAAAAGCCCGGAGGTTGTTATGCTATAGACAAGAAGGATGCCTGTAGCTACTAGGTGCTCAGAGGTGGGCAGGTAGGAAGGTGATTGAATCTTAGGGACATTGCACTCACCCACGGCAGGTTCAGCTCCAGTGTGTGTGTGTAAGTGGGGGTGGGTGGGGCCCGGTCTGAGAAGGCTGGGCCCTCAGGCCTGACCTGGAAGGGTGCATCTCCCAGTTGGCTTCTCCTTTGCCCTCTGCTTTCTGCTTCCTGACACCCACACTGTGAGTAACTTTCCTCTAAGGCAGTCCCTTTCTTCCATGACTTTTCTGGAGCCTGCTGGCTGTGTGGACCAGTACTTCTGATTCTGTGAGCCAGAATGAACCTCTCCTCCTTGAAGCTGTGGGTGTTGCGTATTGTCTCTTAACAGTGACAAGAAACGGGGATGACAGGCAGAAATGAATCACGGTAGTTCTCGGTGAGGATTAGACGTTAAGGCAATGGAATCTGGAGAAGGTGCGTGTCCAAAAGCTCCTGGTCACTCATCCTACAGTGTTTTCCCCATTGCTGTCCTTTGTAACTTACATTCATCTGTATTATTTTGCATGTATTATACCCTTGTAACTTTTAAATATAAGACAATAAAGCTGTGGCTTAGTTTGTTCCCTCAGAGGACGACCTAAGGTGGACCCCTAGCATTCCTTGACTATTTCTTAGGTAGTGGTAATTGCTGCAGTGTGGATATGGTTTGCCTCCCAAGTGCTAGAAGAGTGGTCCCCAGGGGGGTAGAATCTTTAGGGGGAGAGGCCTACAAGCAGGTCATACAGGCAGGGAGCATCATCCTCAGGAGAGATTAACTCTGGCCTCATAGCTAGCAAGTTCTCAGGTCAGCAAGTGGTAGAAGGTGGGGCCAGTCCAAGGGCTTGGCTCCCGCACACAGCTGGTCTCCTTTCCATGTCGGTGTCTGTTGTGATGCAGTCAGAGGGGCCCTTATCATGGTGTCACTGTCCTGCTGTTTGGACCTTCCAGCCACCAGAATTATGAGCCAAATAAACCTCTTTATAAGTTACTCAGCCTCAGGTATTTGTTATACCAACAACAGCAACCCCAACAAGAACAGAATAAGGTTCTAATTTTCTGGAAATTGGAGCAGGACTTAAGGACTGGCGAGGCCCTCTGTCATGATCAGTGCTTGCTCCTGTGCCTTTTTCTGTTAAGTACCCGAGTTACAGGACGTCGGTGTTTACAGGAAGCCAAGAGAGGAAGGCCGTGCATAGTCAGGCCAAGCAGCCTCATCATTATGTTGAGGATCTGAATATTCAAGATTAGAAATTCTGCCAAAAGGAAGTCTGGGCAATAGTGAGTCAGATCTAGGAATGGACAGATTAAGAATCTAGAAAGTCCAAAGGGAAAAAAAAGTGATTTTTGTCATAGCTATGATGTCAGAAATATGTTACTCTGGAATTATTTCCACTCCTCCGAAGCACGTTGCTTCTCAGTCTGCTGAGCTTTCTGCATCCCCTGGACTTGTCCGCTCCCACCTCTTCTGTGCACAGCACTCCGAGCCCACAGCCCTTGGGCTCTGCAGGCCCTGATAATGTTAATGCTTTCCCATCTCAGCTCTCACTTCTGCAGTACTTCCGCAAAGCTGGGGATGTTTCCTTACAGAGGGGCTATGATGGCTACCCAAGAAGAATAAAGCAAAGTGCTGCTGTCACTTCTGGCACACCAAGAAGCATTTAATAATTGGCAGTGATGGTGGTGGTCAATAATGATCATTATTTATCACTTACCCCAAGTTTCTTCCCAACTTGTGCATGCAGTTGTCCCCAGCTGGGTTGGGTGGACTTCTCTTTTCTCATCACCCCTTCAGACTTAACTTTATTACATATTTATTATACTGTACTATAACTGTATGTCCATATTAGTTATTCCAACAAGAATTTTTAAGGACCTATTTAATCTGCTGAAACTGACTTGTGGTGCTTTCAGGTGTGGCAGTGAACCACACAACCAAGATGGCCCTGTGCAGCTTACGACCTTGTTGACCAGCACAGAAAGGCAGCATCTTCACACAGAGGTCACTGTGATGCGGTTGTCCAAGACATCACTAGCGTTTGGACTGAAGCTCACAAAC